GGTGCCTGAGGCCACTGCCAGGAGCAGTAGGGATGCAATGGGAATGCCAGGTGGGAGCAAGGAGGAAAAGGAAATTTTCTGGGGCTTCATCTTAATAGAAAAATTCACAGGCGGTGCCCTCTTTGGGCTCGTAGGCACTGAGAGAACAGCATGCCCTCAGCACTGTCCTGGGGATCCTTAACTGGGACCAGTAACACCGAGCCTGAAACTGAGGTGCAAATCACCCCGAACCCCCTTCAGCTGCCAAGGCTGAGCTGTCCCCGGGGTGCCACAGAACAGCTCAGAGCAACAGGGATCACCAAGCACGGAGGTGCAGAGGCACCCCTGATGCCACCACAGGAGGACACGGTGGGTACAGTCAGCACCTGCCCATCAGCGGGGGGAACCCAGGTCAGGCACAGCCCCAGCCACCACCTCCACCTCCGTGGTGACATCAGCGTGGAGCAGGGGGACACGATTTCAGGCTCCCCTTTGTTCCTCGGCTTTTCCCGTTCCCTGGCGTTCCCCGGTGCTGGCCCTGTCTCTCTCTCTCTGTCGTTGTCGTCCGTGGAGCACGCGTGACACCCAGTGGGTGAACACCAGACTGCACTGGCAGGGCGAGCGGCAGCAGGGTCCCTGCACACAGTGGCACTGGCCTGGGGATGTCACCCGTGGGGGGACATGGTCCTCCTGTGTGAAATGGGGTGGCGCTGCCCGACGGGCTTGTAGGTGGGCTTGAACTTGGTTGGCTTGGACGGGGTCATGGCTGGGGGGGGCCCTGCAGTCCCAGGGCTGTGGGGTCTCTCTGGGGCTCTGGGGTCTCTCCAGGCACTTGGGAGTCCCTGCAGCCCCCAGGCTCTGGGGTCTCACAGGCATATGAGTGTCCTTCAGCCCCGGGGCTCTGGGGTCTCTCAGACATAAGGGGGTCCTCCAGCCCTGGGATCTGGGGTCTTTCTAGGCAGCCAGGGGTCTCTACAGCCCCTTGGCTCTGGATTGTCTCTAGGCTTCTGGGAGTCTCTGCAGGCCCAGGGCACTGGGGTCTCTCTAGGCACCCACAGATCCTTGTAACCGTGGGACTCTGGAGTCCCTCAGGCACCCAGGGATCCCTGCAGCTCTGGGGCTCAGCAGGGCTCTGGGGTCTCATCACTCCCCCACGACTACCACCACCACCATGTGAGTCCCTGTAGCACCAGGGCTCTGGGGTCTCACTGGGGCTCTGGAGTCTCCTCAGGGTCTTGGAGGTCCCTGTAACTTTGGGGTTTTGGGGTCCCATTGTGGCCCCAGGGCTCACTGCAGCCCCATGGCTTTGGTGTCACTGGGGCTCTGGAGTCTCTGTGGGGTCCCTGGGGTCTCTGCAGCCCCAAGGCTTTGGGATCTCACTGGAACCCTTGTGGGCCCCTGCAGCCCTGGGACTCCAAGGCAGTTCCTGAAGCCCTGGGACTCTGGGACCACACTTGGCACCCAGAGGTCTCTGCAGGACTGGGACTCTGGAGTATCCACAGGGGTCCCTGCAGCCCCGGGGTGTTTGATGCCTTGCACCACTCCTGGGTCAGGATCTTCCTTTCCCCTGGCTTTCCTGCCTTTTGTTGTCCCTCAAATGTAAGGCAGCTCAGCCAAAGCATGCCCTGATGTCTCTCAGGTACTTACCACCGTCCTGCTCCCATCCTGGGACCATCCTCACCCCCCAGCCACCATCTCCTGATGCTGTGTGGCAGCTGCAACCCTTCTTGATTGTTCCATCTGGGTTTCTCTGGGACAAGAAACTCTCAGCCCATCTTTAGCTTTTTCCTCCTAACTCTATTGTTCATTCCCCAGGAGATAAACCCTGATGGAACCAGGATCTGAGGGCAGGCAGTGTTGTGGTTCACATAAAACCAAAGCAGAACCATTTTCTGTAAGAAAAACATTTTTCATTTCAATTTGCAAAGGCTTTCAAAGTTGATTCTCAAAGGAGCAGGAGTGGTCTCTATGGAGGGGATTGAATGTTCTTCTCCAGCTCTGGAGAGGCTGGAAGCCTATCCTGCTGAGGCATCCAAGCTCATTAATGGAGCTGTGAACACCCACATGCAGTGCCCTGCAACCCCACTCCCAGCATGTAAATCCCATATCCCAGCTCTGGAGTCTGTAAAGACACTTGGAGGGTTTAGAAATTTGACCTGGAGAATGAAAAGAGGAGGAGAAGGAGGAATGGACCAGTAAGTCAGACACAGCCATGATGGGAGCTGAGTCCTCCTTACTGTACCTTAACCAGCCCCACCAGGTTCTGGAGAGGCTTCACTCATGAAGCTGGTGGCCATGGGGCACACAGGGACCCCTGGGGCTGCTGGTGTGACAGTCCCTCATGTCATCCCCACTGCCCTCACACAATGACACTGGGGCAGTGGCCAGAGCAGGACCCTGCATGCTCGCAGTGAGCCCAGGGAATGCCAATCATGGAGCCACCATGAGCTGCCAGCATTCCATAGCCAAGAAAGCCAGTGTCCCACTGAACCAGGTGTGATGAGCCACTCCCCTAACCCCAGGGTGCAGGTTCAGCCAGCCCCAAAAGCAGGGTCTGGAAAGCACCACACAATGGGGACTCACCATCCCTGCTAACAGATAATCTTGCAAAATGAGCCTAAAAAGTCCATCTCCCTCAGGCTCAGGCCTTGCTAAGGTGGCAGCCCTGATGCCTCCAGGGAAGCATCCCTCATTTCCTCCCTCCCCAGGGCTGAGCTCCTGACACTTCCTCCACAGGGGATGGGAAGGATGGGACTGTCATACCATGGGGGTGCATCACAAAGTTGCTTTTGAGATCAAAGAATCATCACAATCCCAGACTGTTTGGGGTTGGAAGGGACCTTACAGCTCATCTTGTTCCACTCCCTGCCGTGGGCAGGGACACCTTCCACCAGCCTAGGTTGCTCCAAGCCCCGTCCAACCTGGCCTTGGACACTTCCAGGGATCCAGAGGCAGCCACAGCTTCTCTGGGCAACCTGTGCCAGGGCCTCCCCACCCTCTCAGGAAAGAATTTCATCCCAGTATCCCATCTAACCCTGCCCTCTGGCAGTGAGAAGCCATTCCCCCTTGTCCTGTCCTTCTGTGGCCTTGTCCAAAGTCCCTCTGCTGCTCTCCTGGAGCCCTTTTGGGCCCTGCAAGGGGCTCTCAGGTCTCCCTGGAGCCTTCTCTTCTCCAGGGGAACACATCCATCTCTCCCAGCCTGGCTCCAGGGCAGAGGGGTTCCAGCCCTCAGAGCACCTCCATAGCCTCCTTTGGACTCACTCCAAGAGGTTCAATGTCAATGAAGAGAAGTTAAACAAGCTGTGGCATAGCCAAGGCCACATTAAATGTGTGGCTTCACATGGACACATGGGAGTGCACAAGCTCACACGCACTCCTGTGCACCCCAAGGCACACTACAGCAGTGGTGTCAGACAGCTCGAGGCCATACATCTGTCTGGCTACACTTGTTCCCTGCTCCGCAGCCCCAAGGCCACCCCAAGGTTCTTTCCAGCTCCAGATCTGCCACTCCCTGCCCACTGCGGCAGCTCTTTAACCAAGCGTGCCACTTGGCAGCTCTGCCTCTGGCACCTGGAGCATACCAAGCTCGGAATCACACGGCCCCACGATGATCCTGCACCCGGAGGAGCAGCACGGGCAGTGCAGGCAGCCTTCCTCCCCAGGCAAGGCCTTGGGAGCAGCTGCAGCTCTCCAGCTTTCTCCCTGCCAGCCCTTCCATGAGTTTTTCCCCAGCTGATGCTGGTCTCAAGTAGGGTACCCCAGGGGCAGTACTGGGGCTATTCCCCGTCCTTGTCCCAGGGTTGGATGAGCAGGCAAGCACAGCCCTTGCTTGCAGGTGAGGCTAAACCTAGGGTAAGGGCGTGCAGAGTCTCAGTGCAGGTGGACCCCAAGAAATCCAAAATTTGAGTCAAGAGAAACCTTGTGGATATCAACAAGAAGGGCAAGATAACCTCAGGTTTCATCCAGGCTGGGAACAAGGGACTGGACAGGATCTCTTGTCTTGGACAAGGCCCTGGATGGGGTTCTGGACAAGAGGCTGGACAAAAGGGACAAGCTGCAACCTGGGTGGCATGAGGAAGAGTGTGGCCACGAGCCTGTCCCCTCTATGCAGCACCAGGGGACCCCCAGCTGGGTGCTGTGTCGTGAGTGACCCCTCCAGTTCAGGGAGAGGCAGAGGAGCTGCAGAGGGAGCAGGTGCTGCTGGCAGGCCTGGGACCTGGGGCTACAAGAGGGTTGGGATCTACCAGCATCATACCTGGAGGGCAGGTGCATTGGTGACAGAGCTGGTCTCTCTTGGTAGGGCATGAGATGTACCAAAGGACAAGGGGCATGAATTTCAGCTTCAGGCTGGGCAGTAGAACTGCTACTTTTCCCCTGAGAGGTGGAGCAGCTGTAGGACCTGTGAGGTGGGCAAGTCCATCCTTCAAGACGGGGTAAAGTCGTGGGTGACTTTCCCAGGCTGGTGGTGTTTCTGCTCCAAGCAGGAGACCCCCAGGGGTCTCTCCCCACCAGCATCATCCTGTAAGCCCAGTGGCAGGCAACCTCCCACCTGCAAATTCTTTCCCATCCCCAGGTGGGCCAGGAGCCCACCCCACCTCCAGGACACATCGACAGCCAAGCTCCTGTGCACCGGAGCACAGCCCCACCCCAGGCCCGCACTGGCGTTGCTTCTGCCGCCGTGCCAGGAGGCCTGGCCCCTGCTCCCAGCATTGGCTGATCCTGCCAGCCAGCTGGTGCTGCAAAGTCAGGCACAGAGATTGCCAGGGCACCGGTGAGAGGAGAGCAGGGGCAGAGGGACGAGGGGCTCGGGGATCCGAGGGCAGCTCTGCCCTGAAAGCCGAGCCACCTGCATGCTGCTACCTGCTGAATAATAGAGGAGCTGACAGCCAGTGGAGAGAAATGTGATGCTGGAGAGCCGGCTGGGGAAGATATCTGAGCTCCCAGCAGCTGCGATAGCAACTGCAGAGAGGGAGCCTTCCCCCGCTGCTCTGGGCGGTGCAGCGTGGCCGGGGTGCCTGCAGGTCTCTGCGCATCCCGGGGTGCCTGGGCGACTGGTGCCCGCTCTAGGGGCACAGGCTCAGGGCTGGGAGGATGATGTGAGCTGCAGCAGGCACCCAGCGAGAGCTCAAGGGCACAGCCAGGTTTCCCAGGAGGTGAGGCAGAAGGAGCCTGCTTGCAGCCAGTGCCCACACCTGGGGTCCAGCAGCTCAGCCTCATGTCCAGAGGAGGGGAGATGGTTTATATCCCAGATGACTCTGACTTCAGCTCCTTCAGGGATCAGTGTGAGAGCCTGGAGGGCTGGCATTGTCGGTATAACAAGGCTGGTGTGACCGTGTGGAGTCAGGGCCAGGAGGAAAGCTGCACCGTGCAGAAAATCAAGGTAAGCAGACCCTCCACTTTCTCTGCCCCAGTTGTGAGACTCCAGAGGGTCTCCAAGGGGTGCTGACCATGCTTGGGGTGCACAGTCCAGCCTGTCTAGGGTGTTTCTGCCCCAAATCCCAGGGCGTTAGACCCCAAAGGTGCTTCTCCAGCTGCTTTATCCTCTCAACCTGCCGGGATGCCCAAGGCCTCATGCCATGTGGGCTCATATTGCACTGCCCTTGGTCCGTACACCGGTGGGAAGGCCCTGGGATCAGTTACGTTATGGAGATGGCCTTGCTGGGAGCCCCCAGATGTGAGACAGGCTGATGGGATCCCTCCCTAGTGTCCTTTCCCTGGCTCCTCCATCCTGAGGCACATCACTTCGTATCCTCACTGGATGAGCATCTCGGAAAATTTAAGAGCCTCCGTGCCCCTCTGGTTGTTGTTACACCTTGTTGCTCATCCATACAGCTCCAGTGGCACTGCCAGGTGACCTTGGGCATATCAGGAGAGGTTACAGGGTACTGGGGGCACAGGCAGCCCATCTTGGGTGGGCTCCCTGTATGGGAGCATCCAGTGGGTCCATGCTTGGCTCCATGGTGGGTGTCACAGGCCTTGGTTTTTCTGGCCCCCAAGAATCCAGACTGCTGGGCAGGGATGGGATCCACCAAAACAGGGAGGGGCAGAGCATCTTACCTACAGGATAGCCTACCTGACTGAGAGAGTATTCAGCTAGGAGTGTTAGAGGAGGGTTACCATGACCTGAGGAGCAGGGAAAGCATGGGGAGGTGGTGAGGAGGGATACAACACGCTAGAGGAGGCTCTTGCACCACTCTCCTGAACACAGAATATGCATATGCAGCCAGGAGGAGCTGGGCACACAGTGCTGCTGTGGATGGAGGCCCCTCAGGGCCAAGGCGAGGAGGAGGAGCAGCAGGTATATCTGCAAGACACAATTCCTTGCTGCCATGAGCCAGGGAAGAGCTTTTGGACTAGAACTGGGGAATACTTAAGCCAGTTGGGCATGCACAGGTCACAGGGACACACCAGAGGTGCTGAGGGGTCTGGCCAACATCTCTTTGAAAAGTTCTGGTGCCTGCAGGAGCTCCCTGATATCAGGGAAGAGGCCATCCATCACGCCCACCTCCCAAAAGGGAGCTCCAAGGTACTCTGGGCTGCTGTGTCACCTCCATCCCTGGGAAGGAGATGGAGAACATTGTCCTGGAAGCCATGTCCCGAAGGAGAAGGGCAGTGTTGACAGCAGCAGGTACCTCCCAAGGGCAAATCATGCCTGAGCAGCCTGACAGCCTCCTGCAGCGAGAGGTCTGGCTGTGTAGGTACTGGGGGATCTGGGAGAGCTCTGTGCTGTGACTTTAGCACAGCCTTGGACAGGGTGTCCCGTAATCTCCGTGTCGCCACATCCCTGAGATCTGCACTGGAGAAGTGGATGCTGCTCTGTGTGACCAGGACAGGCTTGGAAGGACAGGCTGGCAGGAACCCCTGGAGTCCAGCCAAGGTCAAACACACTGCCTGGCAGAGAGGTTGCAGTTATGTCCCCTTTGCCAACACGAGCCACACAGAGAGGGGACCCCAAGCATGTCCAGGGGGGTTAGGCACCATCACCCAGCCTGGTTCATTGCAAGTTGTATCTCCTTGATGTGGTTTTACCCTACCCTGGAGAGGGTCTGGGCATGGTACAGGGGTTAGCACTGCCCAGGGACACTTCCCGAAATATGGGATGGGGGATTCCACCCAGTCCTATGGGAGAGCTGAGCTGCACAGCTCTCTGGAACTTGAGGTCAGAAGTCTTTTCATTAACTGAGGGAGTTACTTAACCCAGAGATCACTGAGCAGTTGGAGCTTTGGATTTTTTCCACCTGAAATCCCTTTGGATAGTTTTGGACTCTGTGTTTTCCCCATTCCAGCTGATCACCTGCTATGCCTGGTGAGTCTGTTGTTTCATCCAAGGCTGAACGGGGTGGTGGACAGACTTTAGCAGGGAATTTGGGGGGTGCAAGGCTGAGATGCTCCTGCGGGGATAAGTGGAGCTTCCAGGAGCCCCATGAGCTCCACCTACAGCTGGAAACATCCCTGTCCCTGCAGCAGCAGCACCTCCGACCCAGCTGGGAGGAGGTGGCTGGGGCAGGGGAGCTGGAGGAGGAGGCTGGGTGATCCCACACTCCTCCACGGTGCCCTGGGGACTGCAGCACGTCTCTAAGCCTGTCCTGGGCACGAGTCCAGCACGCCGGGCACAAACCACCACCCAAGCCACCGGGGAAAGCTTGCCTGAGATTGATGGGACCTGCCACGTTCAGAGGGCCATCTCCAATTACACAGCACCTCATCAAAGATGCAAGGCCTCTAACGAGGAGCAGATGACATCTCCTTCCTCCCGGCACTGAGAAGAGCAGGGCCGCTGCCTTCATCAATAATGCACCAGCTGGGCAGGGTGGGCAGCTCCAGGGCTCAGGTTACAGCCCAGGCCCCTCCAGCCTCCCCAGACTGGACCCCACGCCCAAGACCATCCTGCCAGGGCAGGACCATCCCTTTGCTGTCCCTGAGGGGAGAGGGCAGGGCTAAGGGTCCCCAAAGGTTGGACCACCAGTCATCTCTGTTTGAGGGCAGAGGGTCTTTCCAGCCCCGCTCTGGATGCAGGACCAGGGGCTCTGCTTGGGCTGTCCTGAAGCAGAGACGTGTCCTGCCCTGTGTGCGCAGAGCATCCTCTGTGGCACATGTGGTTTACAGCAGCACAGGGACACACCACTGCCCACAGAGACACACCACTGCCCACAGGGACACACCACTGCCCACAGGGACAGCCTAAAGCTCCGTGGTCTGGGGTTGAGTGCTGACTCCCTGCCTGTCTCCCCACAGACCCGCATCTCCTGCAAGGATGTCCCTGCCGAGACCCTCTATGATGTGCTGCATGACACCAGCTACCGCAAGAAATGGGACTCCAACATGATCGAGACCTACGACATCGGGCGCCTCACTGTTAATGCTGATGTCGGATACTACTCCTGTGAGCAGCCCCCAGCCCCTGGAGACTCCCCCTCCCCAGGCCCACAGCCCTGTGAGCATGTGTGGGGCCGTGGGGCTTGCTGTAATTGTTCCCTGCCCGCAGGGAAGTGCCCCAGTCCCCTGAAGAACCGGGATTTCGTCACCCTGCGCTCCTGGCTGCCCCTGGGAAACGACTACATGATCATCAACTACAGCGTCAAGCACCCGGTGAGCCCCCCCCTCCCCGCGTTGCCCCCAGCCCTGGCAGAGGTGCCAGAAGGCACAGGCAGGGCTGGGCAGGCTCTGAGGGGCTCAGGATGTCTCTGCAGAATTACCCACCCCGGAAGGATTTTGTGAGGGCCGTGTCCCTGCAGACAGGTTACCTGATCAAGGCCAACGGCGACGGTGCCTGTGTCCTCTACTACCTCACTCAGGTGGACCCTCGCGGTGAGTGCCAGCAGGAGGGGAGGCGGCACCGTGCCCAGTGTGCCCCCAGAGCTCACATGCTGGCTCTCCATCACCCAGGCTTTGGGGAGTGGGGAGAGCCCAAGGAAGAAGGGGGTCCCTCCCCCATCAGTCCTGGGGTTGCTCAGGCTGGCATGGAGCACTGCAGGCTCACGGAGCCTCCCTGGGGCTGGCCCTGGCTGCCTGAGTGACGGGCCTTCGGCTCTTGCAGGGTCGCTGCCAAAGTGGGTGGTGAACCGTGTCTCCCAGTTTGTGGCACCGAAGGTAAGCAGGGTGTGTGACTGGTGGTGGGATGCACAGGCAACAGGGATGAGCTGCCCCTAAGTAACCCTGGGTAGGGGCAGGATGGGTGGTGGATGACCCAGGCCCCACTGAATGGGTGCAGGGTGACACGCGGTTCACAGGACAGGTCCTAGGTGACCCAGAGCTCATGAGACAGGTCCTGGGTATCCCAGGCCTCACAAAACAGGTGCTGGGTGACCAAGGCTCACAGGATGTGTCCTGGGTGACACGCAGGATGGGTGCTGAGTGACACTGAGCGTTCACTGGGCGTGATGCTGGGGCTGTGTGCTCCAAGCCAGACCCACATCCCCTCCCAACACCTCCAAAAACCAGCAGTGGGGGAGCTGGGAGCTGGGGTTCCATCCCCAGATCCGCTCTGCCCGCAGGCCATGAAGAAGATCTACAAGGCTGGGCTGAAGTACCCGGAGTGGAAACGCAAGCATGACCCCGAGTACAAGCCCTGGGTGTACCCGGAGCAGAACACCCTGCCCAGCGTGAGCCTGGCCGAGCTCTCGGTGCAACACGCTGACTCCCTGGAGAACATCGACGAGACGGGGCTGCCCGAGGACCACCTGAGCACCAGTGACCACGAGGCCTGAGCCCTCTCCGTGGGCTTTTGTGGGGGGACCCCCTCATGACGGAGGCTTGGCAGCCAGAAGGCACGGGTGGGAATTTGGCCCCATGCCCCCCAATAGCCAGATCTGCTCTCCAACTCCTTCATCGTACAACCCCCTACCCAGGCAGCAGGGTGCTGTCCCATGGGAATCTGAGTCACAAGCACTGGAAAGAGGGAGGATGGGCACCCTGGTCTCCCCTGTGCCCATTGAGATGTCCCCACAGGAGGTAGTGCTGGCAGTGGGAGTGGGTGCCCCAAGGAGAGGCTGAGCAGAGCAAGAGAGGGGAAACCCTTCATGGGGTGAGTAGGAGCTTTCCTGGCACCAGGGTATGCCTCTCCCATGGTAAGATCTTCTAGGGGTGTCCCTCAAAAGTCCAGAAATGAAGGGCTGTGGGGACTCTGCTCAGGCTTTGCAGCAGCACAGGGCTTAGACTGACCTGCTCTGGCCCAAGGTCTGCCACACCCAAGGTCAGGCTGGGCCCACTGCAGCCCCCCCACGCTTTGTGTGACCCCTTCACCTCAGGGAGCCCTCCCAGGTCCACTCCTGAGTGCCAGGCTCACTTCTGCAGGCTGGCTGTAGTCCAGCTGGCTCTGGGGACCCCTTCTCAGGTGGTGTTTGGGGGGGCTTAGGACAAGGCAGTGGGATCTCGGGCAGCCTATGTCCCCACTCTCTTGGTGTTTGCTGCTGCTGTGGTTTCTGGCACAACAATAAAGGGGTTGGTGTGTGTGCAAGAGAGTGTCAGGCTGGCACAGGATGAGGTTGGCACTGAGTCCACCCAGAGGCTGTGCAGGTGCTTGGTCTGGGTGGAAGAGGAGGGTTAGTCCATCCAACACCCTCAGCAGGGAGTGGGGTGGCCACGGCAGGGCAGGACAGATGGATGCCAGGCTCTGTACCCCTGCATGTGGGCGAGGCTGTGTGGGCACAGGGTAGCTCCCACCAATGGGAAGTTGGTCTAGACAGACACTGCCGTGGGAACACGCTGACAAATGAGGGATTTTCCACCCGCTATTCACCTCCCTGCTCTGAGACTGCCTCTGGCTGTGGGGCTTCTGGCCCAGCTGGGTTTAAGCCTGACCTGTGCAAATGGGGCCATTACTGATTATGGTGCTGGGTTGCTCAGCTCCGGACCTTTCCCAGCAAGGTAAAAGCTAGGGGACATGGCCAGGATGTCCCATAGCCAGAACCTGGGGGACAATCGAGGCAGTGGTGTGGGACAACCCCCTGGCAGCACCCAGAGCTTGCAGCCTGCTCAGAGCCAACTGCCACTGTGGCTTTTGGGGCCTCTCTGACCCAGCCTCGTGCTTACTAGTCCCCCTGACCTGCTGTGAGTTGAGTGCCACTGCCCTGTGCATGCTTTCCTTGGGCTCACCTTGAGCCTTTCCGATTCATCCAGACACCCACTCCAGCATCCCAGGTGTGAATGTCCCCCTTTAGCCACCCCCCTAAGGTCATGTATGTCCTCTGTGCTGCCTCAGAGGGACATCACGGAGTGCTGGGAGGTCCTGACTGTCGGGACAGCCGCCTCCCCCGGTTTGCAGCTGGGCTGGCTGCACAGGCACAGCCAGGGCGAGGAGCTGCCTCTGCAAGGAAAACAAGGAAAACCCAAGGACAGGAGATGTGCAGCTCCCTCCTCCCAGTGCTCCGGTTTCATGGTGAGGGGAGCAATCCCCATTCCTCATGCTGCTCCCACCATGGTGGCAGACCGAGGGCACCCTCAGCAGGGATGATTTTACCTGTGGAAACACACATCCCAGTCCCAAATCGCCCTCAAAACACCTTGAAAGGGCTGGGCTCTGTGGCCAGAGCAAGGGGATTAAACACCCTCATGGGGCAGAGCCCACTGGCATCCCGAACCCTTGGGATGCTGGGATGAAGACCATCCCTCACAGCCCCAGCCCTGCAGGAAGCGGCCTCATTCCGCCTCATTCCCCGGATGTTTCTCTGTAGGATCAGGCTGCAGCTCTGCCATGAGGTTATTTTTAGCCACCCCTGACTGGGTGTGAGGAGCTGCTGCCTGAGCACACAGAGCCCGGCGGGGAGTCCCCACTCCCCAGCCAACCCCAGGGAATGCTGTGCCGGGATGGGTGACACCTCAGCCCGGGATGTGGCCCAAAATGACCAGGATGGCGGTGGCACGGGGAGGAGAAGGACTGCTGGGGTGGCAGGGACACCGGTCCAAATCCAGCATTGGGCTGTAGCAGAGTTCCTGGCACCCAGCACCACCCTGGCCAGGGAGCAGGGTGAAATTTGGGGGGCTGGGGAGAAGGGGGGCTACTTCACCAGGAGCCCCAGTGTGGGGATTTCTTTTCGACTGATGTTCCCCTACCGGGTTTCCTGTGGCACAAACAGGAAGGGGGCCGGGCACTGGTATCCCGAGCAAGGGAATGGGGCAGGCAGGGTGTGGGGGGCTCGGAGCCCCCTCAGGTGCCCCCCGCTGGGATTCTGGGGGAGTGGGTGGCCCATGGCCCAGTGGGATGAGGGCCAGACATGTGGGGGCTGCAGCCCAGCAGGACAGCCCAGCTGGAAGGAAGGCTTTTCCTGCCTGGCCTGAGCGGAGAGGAGCCGCCCGCGCGCAGAGATTGGAAAGGAAACGGGAAGCTGCTGCTGGACAAGAGATTAGCCTGGAGGCAGTGATGTCAGCCCTGATGGATGGGGGGCAGGGCAGCGTGGCATGGGCCCTCCATCCTGGCCACATGCAGTGTCAAATGTGCCCCTGGCTGGGGGAGGATCCATCCCTGGATCTCCTGATTTGCACCTTCTGAGCTCGTGGATATGTCTTGGGTAGCCCTTGGCCCCAACACCCACACCGGGACCCTGAGCCCAGCATGGAGCCCCCCTGCAGCTCCTCTTACCTCATGGACTGATCTTCAGCTGGGCTTTTGCTGGAGAGATCCAGCAGGTTTCCAAGCCAAACAACCTCAAGCTTCCCCTTTCCCACTCCTCCACCAAGTCCTCCCAGGGGCTCAGCTCAGCCATGCCCTGGAAAAGCCCCCAGGCTCAGACCCCACCCCACATTTCCAGTTGTTAAATGTGGCGTTTATCCTCTATGTATGAGCTCATACCTCTAGGTATGAGCTTTGAGTGTCCCTCACCCCGGTCTGCTCCCAAGAGATGCTCCCGCCATCACCCCACACATCTCCCAGCATGATCCAGCATGGGCAGGTCTGAAGGAAAAGCAAAAGCTGCTCCAGGGTGCAGTGAAAGCTGATGGCTAGGGATGAATGGATGGATCAATGGATGGATCGATGGATGACTTAGAAAAAGAAAAGGAGGAAGGGGGAGAGAAAGAGGGAGAGGGCGGAGGCAAGGGAGGAGGGAAGACTGGATAAAGAGATGGATGGATGGGCATCTGGATACGCGGACCTTGAGGGACAGTGTCATCCTGGGTACTGCCTGAAAAGGGGAAGGACCACACAGGCCTTTGTGCTGGAAGGATCTAACCTTCACTTTGATGTTAGCTTCCTCCAGCCCTTGCCAGCATCTTCCCAAAGCCCAATCCCCCAGCCCCAGGGCTGTTTTCTGATCCTGCCCATCTACCTCTTCCAGGGAGCAGGCAAGACCTTCCTGCTCTGTGAATATCACAACCAGGACAGGGCTCTCTGCCTCTGCCCAAGGATGCTGCTCTCTAAATATAGATCCCATCAGCAGGATAGTAAACCCTGGCAGAAGCTTTGAAACCTGTGCTGCAGAAAGTGGGGCTGGTAGGAAGCTCTCGGGAAACACACAACACAGCACACACTTCAGGGCTGCCAGTGCCCTGCTGTGCCCTGCTCCCCTCCAGCACAGCCTGTGCCAGCTGTGTGGCTCCAGGGTGGTCCCTGGCTGGGGGATGCCTCAGCTCAAGCTTTCCTCATGGCTTTTTGGGAAGGGACACTCCCCTTCAGGAACCAGGTGCTGGGGATCAGCAGAGATGCTTTAGCAGGCAGTTCCTCTTTGCCGAGGGAACTGAGCCCCAATCCTGGCACTTATGCGTCAATGGAGGGAGAAGGGAGTGGGGGGAAGGTTTTCTGCACCAAATTGCCATGTCAGCAGCATCAGGGTGTGTGTTGTGAGAGCTGGACCCTGTCCTTGGTCACACTAGGCCTACCAGGGCTGCAACTTGCCCTTCTAGGGATGTCCCAGGGTGTCCCTTCCATCTAGGACAACGTTTCCCTCTGCAGTAGCCCATGTCTGCCCTGCTGGCACAGAGGGAGGAGCAGCAGCAGCAGGTTCTGAGGGGTCTAAAGTGCATTGGCAGCAGGGCAGGGAGGGGATCCTGCCCCTCTGGCCAGCCCTGGGCAGGCACATCTGCAGGGCTGGCCCAGCTCTGGCTCCTCAGCACAGCAGGGCCAGGGAGCTCCTGGAGCGGCTCCAGCGCCGGCTGCGGAGATGCCCAAGGGCTGGAGCATCTCTGGGAGCAGCAAAGGCTGAGGGAGCTGGGGCTG